TCGAGGAACGGCCGGCAAAGTTGATGCAAAGGGAGATTTGGCATTGCTTTTTCCACAGGTGCCTCTAGGCCTATAGGCATTCAGTGGAAACGGAATCCGTAGGTCACTTGTAAAACACCTTCCCCGCTCAAGACCTTTCTGCCTCCAAAATCAAAGGTGCATTGGCCGGCGTTGTGTCCTAAAGCTGCAAAATGGACACGGAGTCCGGATCTGAACTTCAAGGCGCAATGAGTGTTAGGGGGTGGGGAAGCCCTGCTCATTCAAGGTTAATAAAAGAGCTGGATTTGGGTCTTCGCCTCAAAAGGGCAGGAGATGGTGGAGGCAGAGGTTTGGTTCAAGTTCATCTTTAGTCACTGCAGAACCTTTCTCAGAGAAGAAGCCTCTGACTTGTGAAACTTGCGGACAGATCCATTCAGCTGAAAACAGCTGGTTGCTTTTGGTGATCTTGCCAGCCAGCTCCTAATTATTTTCAGTCAAACAAAAAGCTTTGCTTCTTTCTGGCTCATCTGCTCTTCTTTTTAATTGTAGAGAAGTCCAAATAAAGCAGGCTTTGACACTAACGTTGTTTCACAGAACAAGCTACAACAGGGATAAAAACCATCCCATATACTTCTGGTTGTGCAAATCCGAGATCAGAAGGTAACTACCCTGATAGCATGCCTCTCTAGTTCCTTAGCTATCAGCAGGGGCTGAGGAAAAAAGTCCTCTCGGCCCTGAAGGCGGGGCTGTAGATTCTGCCTGTCAGTCTCCATGGAGGAAGGAAGAAGGGCCTATCACTAAACCTGGATTGTGAGCAATAGTGCACAGGAGCAATGCTACTCTTGAGTATCTCCACCAAAGTAACTGGGGTTCTTCCACAAAAACACAGCCATGCCTTATCAAACACAAGGACCCAGCAGTGACTGTGGGTCCTCTGCTACTGTTCCAGCACAGGCAGAGGGGACAGCCCTGGCGTAGACAGGTTTCTAGCCACTAAAAGTGCAATTCATTACTCCTGCCAGTGCTGTGAAAGTGTTCTGCTATGTAACATTGCAGACAACGAAGTCCAAACCTAGCTAATACTTGCAATTGAACTGGTGTAAGCAAAAGTGGACTATTTTCAAAATAGGATTTTTCAAAACAGGGTTTAGTCAGCAGTAACCTTCCCTGACTCCCAACAGGCTAGTAAGACATGCAGGTGGAGGGTACCAAAGCAACAAACAGCTAAAACACCAGGATGGGGGCAACTGAGCTGGTTGCAAGTAGGAGAGATGTGTTTGATGATTAAGCACACCGCAAAGGAATCCTCAAGTCTTTGACTCACTCTCCTCCCCTTTTCTATAAATAGTTTCCCTTTCCAAGCAGAAGCAAGACTAAAACTGTTGTGGTGAGCTCCACCTGAGCAGCTACATCATGCTGTACTGGGAAGGCGAGAGAAGAAAAACAGTGATTCCTCTCGAAGCAGCAATCTGAAGCCTAGAAATTCAGTGCTCTGTTGGCACACAGGCCTGCTCTCCAGTTGTGGAGGAGTCTCCTGTCTTGGCAAGAATCCCATTACAAGGGTAAACCTCATGTTGGGGCTGATCCAGTGCCTGCTGAAGACAGGAGGAACATTTCCACTAGTGTCTGGGAGCCCTGAATGAGCCTTTTCCTTTCCGCCTAAGAGGTAAATGACCGCTTTCCTCCAAAATCCACCACTGTTCCTGCTTCAATGGCACTGGGAGGATAGAGTCAAATGTTTTTCTGTTTTATATAAAGCATCACCTGAACCTGTTCAACATAAGATGAGATGAGATCACGGTGAAAGCCTCAGGAAATTTCCAAAACTCTCCTCATTGCTGCACTTGTACAGCTGCACCAACAGGAGCCATAGAAGAAAAATAAGGAGATGGGTTCCCACATGAAGGATGCAAAATTTGATATTTCCTTATAAAAAGGCATGTCCCCAGAGGAAAAGTAGAAGCCTTAGGTATAAAATACCAATGTTTTTATGAGTCTAAACAGCTAGAAAGGGATCAGAGACTCCATGTACAATGCTGCTTTATCTTCTTGCAGAGGCTTCCATCATCACCATATCTGAGTTCCTCTGTATTTTCTCTTGGGTACTTTTTGGCACTATGTTCTGCCTAGTTTTGAATTAAGCAATGATTCTTTTGCCTTTTATTTTGGGAATCTATTCCACAATTAATCCTAGCCAGCTTTTTCAAATGAGAAGTTCACATGTCAGGAAAATGACATAATTGTTTTTCTTTACAGTTTTCATGACGTGTTCATAATTTCAGTAGAAAAAGTTAGTGTTTCTCATTTACCCAAACCACATTTTTATAAATTATGTATTAAACATTTATACCCTAAGTAATTATGAGAACCCCAAAAAGTGCTGAAATTCTTAAACCTATTCCTTATTTACTGAGCAGCACAACGTTAAAAATTTAATCTTATTTCGGTGGCAGAGACAGCCTTCTTATCTTCACATCTGCCTGTAAAGCACCAAGGTCAGTAACTCCAGCAAGTAATAACAGACATTTCATGCCTGGAAAGCTTTTGGTGGTTTTCAGCCTTAATTTTAACTTCCAATGTCCTGTTCTACTTGTGTGCTTTCTACAGTCCACAATAATCTCTTGCTTTGGCACTTACATGCATTGCACACACAAGCGTCGTGCATAGATAATTACATCAAAAATCTAGGCCATGCTTAGCTGTAGTTTCTTAAAGAATTCTTAAAAAAACCCTTTCTTTACACAACTTATTTTCCCCTTCATAAAGAAAAAATAATGTCTACTTGGCTAAAGTACACCATTCACTAGAGCTTTCTACTGAAATGACCCAGAATAATAATTATACTATTAATTTTCAGAGGGTTCCTCTCAAACAGCTGCAATGTAACTTCTTTAATTTGGTGGATTTACTTTAAGTAAGGTGATACAATTCACCACTCCATTTCACAGCTTCACTGGGGCCATAAAACCAGTGTCTCAGCCTCCAATACTCCTTCAGAAATAGAATGGAAATACTTTACTTGCTTATTTTGAAGATAAATATATGTTTGTGTTTCAGGAGCTGATGTCAGACAAGAGTCTCTGCCAAAACGCTCATCCCCTTTGTTAAAATGTTCCTAGCTGATGTGCTAGAAAAGTGTCCAGAAATGAAAAAATCATTCTCCCAGAGTTGCAATTCTCATTAGTATTTGAGTACAGTATATTCACATAACAGGAAGCTTAACATTCACGTTTCAGAGGACATTTCATGCTTTGCAGAGTGCATTTCAGGGAGTGCTTGCTCACTGTTGAAATATGGTTCTTTCTCTAGTGGATGCCATCAGACCGGTAGATTACACATTACAAGTCATTTAGGGAACACATTGCCACAATATACCATTGGTCAAAAATAGATCAGTCTCTGATATGACTAATAAGAACGTTCTTAATGTACATTAGAAAGGAAATAAAATGAGTGTTGATTCCCATGCCTCAGAAAATCAGTCCAGCATAAATCATTCAGCTCAGGAAAGAAAAATCTTCTTCTAATGAACAGCTATGGACTTCTTTCAACCTTCACCTATAATGGCCATGGTTAGAAATAAAGCAGAGAGACAACTGGTCTAAGCTAGTAGGTTCATGCTGAAGAGCAGAAACAAGAGTCAGAAATTAATGGAACAATGGAATAATCATTTGTCCTAATATAATCTCATGTCATATTCTGTCATGCAAATAATGTCAGATTAAATTGAATTTGTAGTCAGAAGGGCTAATCTGACAGTTTTAACCCAGACTTGAGATGACTATTTGATTATGACAAGGAGAATATTACTTAAAACAGAGGCCATGGGGAACTGTAAAGTGAGAAGCTGGTTACGGGCACATAGGGAGGTTAGTAGGGAATCGTATCATGTAAGGTTTGCACAAACTATGTCTAAACGGAGTAGACAGAAGCATGCACATTGAAATTATGTGACCTTATCAAGTTAGCAAAAGATTGGGATAGCATGTAGGAAAAACTCAGGACCAAGTAACAAAAGCGGAGCGGAACCTAGTAAAGCAGAGTCAAGTACCTGGGGATTAGTAAGAATTTCTTTGATACACTAGGAACTGAACCACAAATGACAAAGAAGGGAAAATGCCCAAGTATAGTATTTAATTATAAACTGACATATAATCACATATGAAAATATCATGAAAAAGACAACATAATTCTGGGATATACCAGGCAAAGTAGAACCCAGTCAAATCTGGGAAGTACCATGACTATTTCACAAGACTTTGGAGAGCTTCTTTCCAGACACTCGATAATTCCAGTCACCCACATTAAAAAAAAAAAAAAAAAAACCAAACCAAAACCTATGATCAAACCCAGAATTTAAACCGGAACCAATGCAGAGTAGGGTTACTAAGGTGAATAGGGGAGACACTACTTTACTAAAGGAGACTAACAGCGCTTGGCTTCTTTAGCTCAACAAAGCAAAGGCTGAGACACCAGATAATTTCTTTCTATATGGAGTCAGGAAGCAAGCTCTAGAGAAGAAAACACTATTTAAACTTAAAGCTGGCACAGGAACAAACGGGAATAAACTGGCTATTGAAACAATTTAGCCTGGATATCCTAAGAAGGGTGCAAGTCATCGGAAGCGCTGGA